ATCTGCACTCAGTTTTCATCTCTAAACCCACAAAGGATTTGTGGACCAGGATAAAATTAATGAAGAACCTATTTCAAGATTAGGATTTTTTGACATCAACCCCCAAAACATTCATCAACCAAGACAGTGGTTTCTCAGCCTAGACCGTAGTTGCTGTCTGTGCATACTATAAAAAACCAATTTCATTCATTCTGATGAAAATCCCATAAAGGAAAATACATTGAAAGAGTGATGGTCAAAAATAAGATGCATTTGCACTCCTAAAATGCAGGCTAGTGTTGCTGAATTTGCACATTGTAACTGCAAAAGGCATGAAATCCTTAAAATATTCCTGCAATGGTCTTATGCTGAAAGGGGAGCTTTATGAATATTTCAATTACAAGATGAGGCTTGAAAGGATGGAGTTGTTTCAATTTTGAATCACCCTTCCTTAAATAACTTGGCCTATTTGGTACGAAATGAGACTCAGTCAAATCCAGCAGCCCCTCCACATGCACTGGGGAAGGATGGAGCCTCCTGAGGTGGAACCACCTCGTTGTGCCCTTTTACTGCTTGGGATAGACCAGCCATGGCTTCACTCAGGATACACCCCATCTCTTGTCATCCCCTTGGGCAAAAAAAAAAACCCTGTTTAGCTGCCTCAAGGCACTTCCCCTCCTCGTTGTTATTTCCAGTTATCTGAGTGTTAAATTAAAGGCTCAGCTTTTTGCTGTGCAGTTCTACACCTGCCCCCTCCCTGCATCAGGAAGAGTGGCACTGCAGCAAACAGCACAAAGCCACTCTTGCTCTCTTTTGGGATTGAAGAGATACCCAGGGAGCAGCAAATACCACTGATCAGCTGGTTTGTACACTCAGGGATGGAAAGGTCATTGTTTTCCTCCTCTGTCCTACTCAGAGAGGGACTAGGAGGCAAACACTTTATGGCCTGGTTCTGATCTCACTAATCCAACCAAAATATAGGATTCTGAGGAGTTACTCCTGTTTTTTTCTGGAGTTAATTAAACCAGGCTGTTGGTTTTCTTCACTCATTCAGATCAGCCCACTGAGATAGATTCTGTGCTTGCTTGTCCAGCGACCTTCAGTGCTTGTTGAACTGAAGTAGCTCTAGAATCGCATTCAGATCAGCACATGAAATACAGATTTTAGTGGAACTTTAGGTTTCATGCTTCCTAGGAAAGTAGCTGCTTGTTTGTGCTGCCTGGTTCTACCTTAGGCAGGACAACTCAACAGTCCTGCAAGGCAAATAACAAACTTCCTCCATCAAAGCTGCAGAATTAGACTTTATTTTTTAGCTGAAGGGACTCACCAGCCCCAGTTGCTCAGCACAGCCTTTGTGTGCACTTTCTTATGCAACTTCCCCCTCCACTCCCTAAAGCATCTCCACATTTCCCTGAGAGAGAATGACCACCCAAAATGAAATCAGAATATGGCCTGGACTTCTTAATGGAATAAAATGCCAGCACTTACTTCTGCTGCTTCTCACAGCCCTCCAGAGGACCAGGCATCCCTGGAGATGAAGTGTCACTCAAAGAAGACTTCCAGTAGTTAATCACTGTTCCACTAGCCTTGAAATGGAAACACTTTTCAGCACAGACTCAAAGCTTGCCTAGTTTCCCTGTACCTTAATTAACCATCTTCTCCATCATCTGCCAAACTGCTGCTTAACACATCCTGGCAACCTGCCCCTCATATATTGCAGCAGATATGGCTGGCAACAAGCAGAGCTTATCATGGGGTATTAATTACTTGAGCATAAATAACGTTCCCTCTTCCCTCATGATCTGCTCTTTCTCATGGAAATAGATGTGTAAGAATGAGAGAGAGAGGAAACAACGAGGAGGTAAATTTAAGCCTAAAATGAGTGACAAGTCTCACACTGAGTGAGAGTTAATGCCAGGCAATTTAAAAATGAGAAGTAAAGGTGCAAACAGCCACTTTGATTAACCACTGGAACCCACTGCCAAGGCAAGGAACGGATTTTTTCACTGTATCACAGAATCCCAGAATATGCTGAGAGGGAAGGGACTCACCAGGATCATCGAGTCCAACCCTCAGCCCTGCACAGGACACTCTAGAAGTCACATCGTGTGCCTGGGAGCATCGATATCTTCAGATCAGTCTAAGAAATATCCTTTAGTCAAAACAAGGAGTCTGAATAAGCATAAATGTGAAAACTCATCCAGGAGAAAGAAGCACACTAAGCACACAGGTCAGCTTGGCCATCCATGAGCACCAGTGGCACTGCCAGAGACCAGAGCAGTTCAAAGGCTGGGCCTGGGAAAGCAAAGGACAGAATAAACCCCCTGGGTGTGCAGGGATCCCTCCCACTGCATTCCCAAGCCCTCCCATGAAACCAAGGAGAGCTCAAATCCTCGCTGCGAGCAGAGCCTGCTCCCTTCACAGCTCATTAGCTCTCCTGCTAGAGAGGTGTTTCCAGCTCTCCTGCCACGGGGAGAAAAATAAAGCACAAGTGAAACGCAGCTTCTGGTCCCTCCAAACCCCTCATTAATGACTGCAGGACACAAACACACCTGGAATCCCGTTCTGCCTCCGCACCCGACTCTAACACGCCGTGCTGTGCCGTGCCGTGCCGTGCCGTGCCAGGCGGGGTTTAGCTCTGTGCTGTTGGGAAATCATCTCAACGTGTAGTTCTGCCTGTTGGGAAGACAATTTGTGTGTATGTGGAGGCACCCGGACTCGTGGGGAATAACAAAGTCCTCAGGGGATGTGTTAAAATGCAGGATTCAGGCAGGAGTGTTTGTGTTTGGGAGCATTGTCTGTGTCCACGCACAACAGAGGCAGCTCTGAGAGCTGCTGTTCTCCACAAATGCAGAAGTGGCTCCTACAGAAGTTGTGGATGGACTCTGTTGTGAATTTGGCTTATCAGTGATACATTCATAAAGCAGATGTAATTATTCAGTCTTTTGAGTATGTATATTTAGCTTGTTTACTGGGTGCATTATGGAAATGTGAATGGCTATTTGTGCGTGAATGGTGTGTTTACAGGTTATAAATGTTTCTTGTGGAGTGTTAGTTAATATTTTTTTTTTAAAGTACACTGATGAGTGTCTAGTTTATGTTGGATATTTATGTGGGTGGACATATCTGTGAGAGCTATTTGAACTCACATAAGAGATGCAGACTTGTATTTAAATGTTCATTAAAGCAGAGAGTGGGTCTATTATGTTTTTATTCCCGTGATTTATTGTCCCTGTGGAACAGCGGGAAAACTGATATAATAAAGTGATATAATTTTCAGAGATGACAATTCTGGAAGAGGTGCTACCTCTTCCTTTCAGAAGAGTTCAACATGCCCACTGAGTGAAATCTCTCTGTGTGACAGAATTTAAGGGGAAAGACAACCTGGACTGTGTCACCAAACCCAAAAAACTGATGGCCAGGCTGCATAACTTGAAAATACGGTTTAAAAATACACAAAACATGGGGTGCACCCAGCTCTGGGGGGACACCCTCCCTCCTCCAGATCTGCCCAGCTCATCGAGGGACTGTAGAGACCCAGGGGAGTTCTTTGGCTGCTGCTCACATGGGCACCGTCCGAAGCATCGATGTAGCTTGGCCATATTTGCAGATTCCAAGCACAGAACGAGCCCACGAAGCCATCGAGACCCATCAAACCCCCTCATGTTCAGCTGAGCAGGACAAGGCAGCTCGTTGGGCAGGGCTTGCATAACACCCCTCTCAGGGCTCCAATTGCCTCTGACTTGCACAGATCCTTTGCAGTTTCACTCTCCACTCTCATCTCCCCCCTTAGTTCACTGCAGCTACGGAGTGAAAAAATCCTGAAAACTGGTTTTGACACACAATTATCCTGCAGAGGCAGGGAGAGAAGAGAGGGGATCAGGGAAAAAAAAAAAAAAAACCAAACCCTTCCAAGAATCTGATTTTCCTCCCTATTTTTTTTTCCCTCCTGTTCCTCTGAGGCTTAGGATGGAACAAGAGGAAGATGAGCAGAAAAACTAAGGAGATCTTTGGAAAAACACTGTTCTCTCCCAGTCTGCAAGATGCTTTCCAGAACTGACTGGTGTTTCAAATGAAGTTACTTCACTTGGAAAGCTCCTGTGTAATGGTAATTCCTGTATCCTGGAGGCCAAACTGGCTGCTGGTTCTTAACATGGGATTAAGCACAACAGAATCATGTCGTGTTCATTCTTTCACCTCCTCAGAAAAAAAAGAACAACCTCAAACCTCAAATTTCTCTTTTATCTACATTCTAGCAATCAATCTCTAAAGAAAGTAGTATCTCTGGTCCCTATAGATAATATTCTCCCCTTTGTTTCCATGTCAGTAAGACATATTTCCAGTTTATCTCATCTTTGTATTAATATCAAGAGGCAAACCCGTATTTCAGATCCCGAGTGTGCAGCTCAGTCCATCCCTACTATAATGCACATTTATGTCACAGTCCACTTCTATATGGAAAATACTCTCCCATATTATATATTCTTCATTCCATTTAATAAAGAAGTATTTCTGCAGGTGTCTTATTTTTTCCACCAAAATTTGAAGGATAAGATTTTCCCCAACAAGGCCATTTTTTTTTCCTGTGTTATTGGAATTTGAGGAAATCTTTCATCTCACTGAGTATTTTTCTTCATTCCTTTTCCAGACAGGACAACCCTCTTAGGGAAATCTGGATCTCTGCCCCTTTCTAAAGATCAAAACTGGTGGCTTCAGTAGTGTCGGTGTGTGTTCCCATTACAGGAACATCAGCATCTCAACCTTTATTTTAAGCACATACTTTGCAGAAGAGCAAAGGATTTTCCAGACTACTCCAGGGACTCTGAAAGTCCAAAATATTTCGAGTCCCAGATGGCTACTTCTTTTGTTTGAAATCATCACTTGGAACTGAAACTGGAACAGCCAGGCCAGAAAAAAAAACCTTCACTGGGGCAAGATCTAAACTTGCTCGGCTCGTGGGCAGCCTATGAAAGGTGTCAGAGGTTCCATGAAGAGAGGACACAAAGCACTTCAGCTGGAGAAGACAAAAGGACAAACTCGGATAAATCTGCTAAAGATTTGCAGGGAAAGCTGCCCCGTTCACATCAGGTTTTGCAGGAAATAAATCACAATGCCTGCGATCCTGGAGGGAAACACTAAAATCTATTTGTAAAACTTATGAAGGCAAAACACTTCACTACATACAAGTGAGACTTTTTTTTCTCTTTTTTTTAATTTAGCTGTAACAATGTCTACAATACATTGACTCACAAATTAAGTGAAGGTATGAAATCACATTCTTCATACTGAGATGGGCCATTCTGGACTTTTTAAAACCTCCTCCCCTCAGAAGGAGAAGAGTTCTGAATGTCCAACCTTTCGAGATAACCAGTGGTGGGAATTTCAGTTTTCCCAGGGGTGAGATGGAGTGAGCCTTGTCCACAGGGATCCAAGTGCTTTGCAGAGGAGAGCAAAGCCTCGCTGTACACACACGAGGGGAGGGAAACCGAGGCACTGCTGTGCAGGGGCTCGCCAGGATGGGCAGGAGCAGAGCTCTGGCCACCAATCCCAGCCTCCTCCGGCTCCCAGTCAATCCCTGGCTCTCCGAACCAGCCTCCCAGTAAGTGTGGGTGGGTCGGGTGTTATACAGGCATCTCTCCCGCTGTGCCATTGGCTCCATCCAATCCTGCTGGCTCCCTGCCTTCCTCCTCCTCCTCCTCCTCCTCCTCCTCCTGCCGGGCTGTGTCTGCCTCCCTGCCCCCGCTGAGGAGGGTGGCACTGGAGAGGTGGCCCAGGAGCTGCCCTTCCCGGCGGGACTCGGCCAGTTCCTTGGCACAGCACACGGGGGTGTTGGTCTCGTAGGTGCTGTGGAAGCTGTTATAGTCCACCTCGTAAAAGTCCTTCTCCAGGGTGAGCACGGGGGTGAAGCGGTGTCCCCACAGCACCTCGGTGTCCATGTAGGAGCTGCGAGCCTGGCAAGTCATCCCTGGGCAGAGAGAGAGGGATGTTAAACGCGGAGCCGGCTCAGCGCTCACCCGACCCCTAAAAGCACTTTCGTGTCGTTTCCAGACCTGGCTGCTCTGGGGACACACAAAGGGCTCGACGGGCATCACAAAAGCCTCTGCCACGAAGCGGCTGAGCCCCCCTCTCCATCCCCGCCGGGAAAGGGACGGATTCTTCGGATTCCTCGCTGTGTCCCCTGCCTTCTACCCCTCGTGTTGGCACCGCCAAGCAGCTTCTCTGCGGAGCTGCTGATGAGCTGATGATGATCTGCTGATGAGCCAGCTCCGGGGAACGGGATGGGAACAGCCCCCGGCCCTGCCAGGGCAGCCCAACCCAGACCCGCAGAGCCCTGAGCGGGAGGAGCCCCTTCCCTGCTCTCCCTCCAAACCCAACCCCATCCCTCCTCATCTCCAGAGCCGCCAGAATTCCCTGGGAAGGGAAGGCTTGGGACGGTTTGGGAAGGTTTGGGAAGGCAAGGCAAGGGCTGCAGAGCGTCATCACGTGGAGTGATGGCTTATAGGAAAAAATATAATTTAAAAAATGGACTCTCTATGGATGAGCCAAATTGTTCATTGCAGGGGGAGACACCCAGATGTTCCACCTCAAAGTGACAGGGCCCCAATTCCTCATGACTGGTGTGACAAACTGGCCTTCAAATACCTCTAGAGGGTTCAATCCCATGTTTTAATGGATTTTGGGCTGAGTGAACAGTGGGCAATAGGAAACTGGTACTTGTCAAGCTGCTTCTCAGCCCCAAGGATCAGAGTTTATTTACTTTGGAAAAGTTTAAAGAGAAGCTTTGCAGAGCAGGGATAAGTGTAACTGTGAACAAATCCTCTTGGAATCACCTACCAGTGTCAAGGCTGACTTCTCTTCCAAACACTTTTCTTTGGTTTGTCCTAATTATGTTATGATTTTGGAATTAGTTCTGGTGAAACTTGGAAAACCTGACCTGACAAAGTCTTCCCGCTGTTCTCTTGTGGAGAGTTAGAGACTGGCCTGACTGGAATACATTCAAAACATGTACCTGATCCAGTTCCTGGCCAATACTTCCAATTTCTGCAGCCCCAAGCACACAGACAGAAATCTAAAGTAAAGGGGCCAAACGTGTCAGATACTTCAGGGCAGAACATATCATGTATTCCCCCCATGTGAGCTCAGCTAAGTGACAGGAATCTCAGAGTAAGCAGAAAACTCCTTTCCTTTAAAAAAAAAATTAAAAACAAGACAAAAAAACCAAACCAAAACAAAAACCCAAACCCAAAACCAAAACAAACAAAAAACCACCAAAGCCCCTTGGCAAAAAGGTGAATATTTTGTTCTCGTAGTTGTTACAGTCCATTACAAGACACCCACACCAGCAAGTGCTCTGCAAAGCTTGACCTGCCTCTTGTTGCTTCCCTTAGTTTAAAGCTCCCAGGCCAGGTTTTTTTGGCCCTTGAAAGGGGAAAAGGGGGACAGTGACACGCTGAGAAATCTCCAGCTCTTTATCACAGCCTGAGAAGCCAGTTCCCACCCCTCCCACCCCCCCAGATCTGCAGGAGGAGGATTTGCTTCTGGGCAGGAACAAGTGCAGTGTTAGTCACAGCGTTTGCTTCCTGGGCCGGAAGGAACCGGGAAGTGCAGAGGCTGCTCTGAAAAATAAAATCAGGGGAGGAAAAAAAAAAAAACACAACACCCCAGGTGGTGTTGCCTTAAGGAGAAGCTCTTCCAGAAGCTTTTCAGGCAACTCTCAGCTGTTGCTGTGGAACTAAAGAGCAGAGTGAGTCCACTCCTGGTGCGGTGGCACCGCAGCTCCTGCCTGGGTTCCTCAGCCCTTGAGGTGAGGAGGTTAAAACCTTCATTCCTTTGGATCTGCTCAGCACTCAGGCAGCCCAGGGACTCCTGAGGATCTCTGAGTCCTGCTGATCTTTGAGTCCTGCTGATCTCTCAGTTCTCCTGAGCTCTGAGTCCTCCTGATCTCCGAGTCCTGCTGAGCTCAGTCCTGCTGCAGGTTTTCTGTCAGGAACACTGCTGAGCTCCCAGGGCTTTTATCCCAGGCAGTTTGCACGGTCAGGGCTGCAGGGCTGCAGGGATAATCCCATGTCCTGAGGGCTGCCTGGTGCTGGGAGGCCAGAAGGTTACAAACCAGCAGCACATGCACGTGTGGTGAGGAGGTGGTTAAAACAAACCAGCCCTTTTCCCTTCAGACAGAGCTGGTTTTGCACCAGAAATCCCAAACACCGCCAGGTGCCTCCTCCAAACCCAGCAAAGCAGGAGAGGAGGCCAGAGGGGCTCCAGGATTAGTTCTGTGAATGAACCAGCTCATTCTTATCACAGCCTTGCAAGTGCTGCATCCAAGTGTCGTGGAGAAATCCCCAAGGCCAAGGTGGAGGCACCCTAAGGAAACTCCTGCCTTATAATCCCAGCCTGAAATAGCTCCTTCCCTGGAGATGGGGGGTACCTGACACTGAACCTGAGCTCCAGGGACACAATCCCAGTTCTCCTGCTGCAAGTATTCAATTAAAGCAGGAACAATAGAAAGCTTTCAGCGACCAAATCCTGCACACTGCCAGCTTCCTGCAGTAGCTGCTTTCTGTAACCCCAGGGGTACACTGAGCCAGCACAATAAGACAACTTGTAATTGCTCCATAATCCCATTCAAATATTCCTTTTTAGCACATGTGCAGTGGTGTTTTAATTGCGTGGGGACACAGTGCTTGGCAACTCCTACATTCCCCAGTAAACAACAGCATTGTCTCTGCTTCAAATTCCATTAAGTGCCTGCTTTGCAGGCTGCCCTGTGCTCTCCAGCCTGGTTAATTAATGCATCTGTAATGTCCCCAGCCAATTATTGCCTCTGTAACTGCAAAAAGATGACAGAAGAGGTGTGGAAACAACAAACCTTATTTTTCTTACGAGCACACGGCTGCAATGTGCCCTCCGTGCCGGGAATATCCCAGGTCCAGCTTCCAGAGGGGCACAGCAGTTCCCTAAATTAAGATCTCTCGTACCTGTTTATGGGATGTCTGGGGTGTAAGAAGTCACTTCTCATAGAAAGCAGAATCACAGAACATCCTGGACTGCAAGAGACCCCCAGGGATCGTGGAGTCCAGTCTTGGCTGCAACCCTGAAGCACTGACACTTTGGGGAGCACAAGAAATCAAGAGAGATTTCAACACCTCCCCCCTCCCCCCAATTTTTGGCAAAATTAATCATAGGATTTATGGTCCTGGTAAAGGCTGTTAATCCTTTCTTAAAATGGATTTAACTGCCTCTAGAACACACAGAGTTATAGAGGAGAGGCATTTGGTGACTTGGGTGTTTCAATTTAAGGAAGCTTCGTGCCAAAAGGAAACAGAATCCCAGAGTGGTTTTTGGGTTGGGAGGGACATTAAAAGCTCATCCCATCCCACCCCCTGCCATGGGCAGGGACACCTTCCACCAGCTCAGGTTGCTCCAAACCCCGTCCAGCCTGGCCTTGGACACTTCCAGGGATCCAGGGGCAGCCACAGCTTCTCTGGGCAACCTGTGCCAGGGCCTGCCCACCCTCACAGCCAACAATTCCTTCCCAATATCCCATCTATCCCTGCCCTCTGGCAGTGGGAAACCATTCCCTGTGTCCTGTCCCTCCATCCCTTGTCCCCAGTCCCTCTCCAGCTCTCCTGGAGCCCCTTTAGGCCCTGCAAGGGGCTCTCAGGTCTCCCTGGATCCTTCTCTTCTCCAGCTGAACCCCCCCAGCTCTCCCATCCTGGCTCAGAGCAGAGGGGCTCCAGCCCTGGGAGCATCTGTATGTCCCTATATCCTCATTTTCCCTTTGTTAATCCAAGTAGATTTTCTTTAAAACTAAACTAAAGTCACAAATGTTTCTATTTTTCAAGAGTATCATGCTTTCTGAATCATAAGACCATTAGAAGTTTATTTTCTCCTAAACATTTAAAAATGAAAAAAATATGTTTAATATAAATGAGTACAATCTGTCAATTTTGGAAAATGGGAAATGATATGTGGAATCTTCTGCTGTCAAGTTCTAGTCGCAGCTTTGTCATCTCTTAATTCAGCATCTCAGCTTTGGGTTACAAACAAAACTCAATTTTAATTGAAACCAGAGAAAAGTTTCCTACAAAGTTATAAGCAGATGCATCAAGTTTTCAACAAAGCTGGAACCAGTTCCAGGCTTTGTAGCTGGAGACCAGAGGACTGTCTCCTGGTTTCAGGTTCTGCAATAAACATTTCATAGGGTTTTAATGATAATTTCATTATAGCAGAAGAAGAAGTGGATATTTTTTTGTCTGTGGGCTGAAGCCACAGATCAATAACAGAGCTGGGCATGTTCCCATTTCAGGCAGCCAGAGATCCTTCCTAAATAGCTCCTTTCTGCTTCCCAGCAGATGAAAAGATACCAAATTTATTGGGAAGTGTATTAAAGCAGGTGTTTCATTACAGCCGAGAACAGAGAGTTGCTGAGGAAACACCGGAGTGTGAAATAATGTCAGGGAACTCTGACATGTAATGAGGCCCTTTTCTGTCATCACAATCAGCTGGATCAGGCAGTTCTGATGTTCCCAAAGCCCAGGGATGTGGATGCTGCTGACAAACCTGGCATTGCTGGGGGGGGCTCAGCCCGGAATGCCACGGACAGTGCAGCTTGGAGCAGAGCTGAGCCTCCCCCTGGGCACTGCTCCTCATCCCCAGGGCCTGAACACCCTGAAAAAAACCACCACTTAAAGCCAAACCTCACTATCCCAAATCTACCCGTGTTTTCAGCTGTTTGGTTCTCTGGGATGAACCACCAGGCTCTCCCCAGCTGCTGGAGGATCCTTATTTATGGCAAACATCCCATCCCAGGCAGCACCTTCACCTGGAGCACAGGGGCACCACAGGGCATTTCCCAGGATATTCTCAGTTGGAAGGAACCCACAAGGATCATCGAGTCCAACTCTTCAGCCCACACAGGGATGGAACCCACGAGTGTCCCTAACTAACCCCAGGATTTATGGCCCT